CTTTTTACATACAAAAAAAACCCCACAATTCGATAGTGTTAAATAGTAACAGAAAATACTAGCTACTGTTTTTCATGTCTGAGCCCTCATTGTCACCCATGAAAATGGACAAACAAACTTAAAGATGCACCACTGCATAAATATGCAGCTAACTCTGCTTTCTGTGAGAAAAGTTGCACTTCAGTATTTCCCCACAGTTAACAATGAAAGTGATTTTTGGATATTCAGCATGTCTTATTCTCCTTGGAATTTCTAATCATGATTTCTGCAGAATTAAATCACAGGGGCTGTCAGCAATGTATCCAGAGATCTGAATGAGTAAAATTGTAATTCCAGGAGTGTAGTAACATTCCAAATTCATTTGGCATGCATAGTGATATAGCATCATAGAATCATAGAATGCTTTGGGTTGGAAGGGAACTTTAGAGGTCATCTAGCCCAACTGCCCGGCAGCGAGCAGGGACATCTTCCACTAGACCAGGTTGCTCAGAGCCCCGTCCAACCTGGCCTTGAATGTTTCCAGAGATGGGGCCTCTATTAACTCTCTGGGCAACCTCTACCAGTGTTTCACCACCCCCATAGTAAAAAATTTCTTCCTTATATCCAGTCTAAATCTACCCTCCCTTAGTTTAAAGCCATTACTCCTTGTCCTATCGCAACAAGCCTTGCTAGAAAGATTTTCCCCATCTTTTCTATAGGCCCCTTTCAGGCACTGGAAGGCTGCTGTAAGGTCTCCCTGCAACTTTCTCTTCTCCAGGCTGAACAGCCCCAGCTCTCTCAGCCTGGAAAAGAGAAGGCTGTGGGGAGACCTTATTGCATATGCCCGATCAGGGCAAACTACTTCATTATCACACATATGTTCAGAGGTATTGCCTGTCACAATAGCTATTTAAAACAGACTGTTCTGAAATCTAATGAAGTCTACCAACCTCCCACTTTTAAATTTTAATCAGTAAATTATTCCCCTTTCATTTGGAAGCTTGGGTTGATAACAGCACCAGATTCAGTTTCACTCACTCAACTGAATCTCAAATTTTCTGGTTTTCTGGTATTAAATAAAACTCACCTTCTCTGTCACTTTTACAGATACATAGGTAAGTACGTCTCTTTTTAACATTTTCACAATATTTAAAGTTGTTGCATGTCCATTCTCTTTCTCCCAGTCTACTAAACACATACAATGCTCAGCTAATCAGTAGAGCCAGAGAATCTTATTTCCAAGACCTTATTTTCATACTGGGAAATTTCAAAGCTGTTAGTTCCTTGTGCCTGGCACACTAAGCAAAATAAATAAACACATAAATAAATTATTACTTCTAAACAAGCAAAGTTTCCGAGAGGTCTCTAACAATCATTTCATGGAAATATAGTTACCTAAGCTGAAATTGTGTATCTCGGGGATAATTCCACAGAAAATGGTGCCAAATGTCAGTCAATACCCAGTAGACCAGAGATACTAGTATCTGGCCAGTAACGCAGGGACTCACTCTGCATGCCTTTATCAGGCAATCTTCATTTATATAAGATGTAATTCATAAAGATCATTTAAATTCATTAAAGCATGTAAACACTCTGGATTTGTTGAATTGATTTAAATGCCTTGATCTTAGCCAAGGAGAATTCCATGTAACTTCATCAAGAGTTTGGCATATGGGCTGTAAGACCACATCCCTGGTTAAAACAAGAGACATCTAGTAAAGTCAAAACGTGAGAATTATTTGCTTCTGGTAGCAAGACGGACTACGGTCAGCATGCCAAGTTACCACTCTTCTTGCTAAGGGGAGTCTCGCGCACTGTGCTAAAACACTGGTTTGACACTCAGGGACGCAAATGTGCCAACGGACATGGCTGGTGATAATGCAGTCTGCTACATTGCCTTTAACTCTATTTGAGACTCTAATGTAGGTCTTCAGCTGGGGCAGAATAAAATACCTATCAATTCCCTTTCTGCATGTGAATTCATCTCAGCAAAGGCAAGGACCTTGCTGAGTTCATTACACTGAATACTGTAATACGTTTATCTCTAAAACTGCATTACATTAACTAAGAATAATGCAATCTTTATTCTTTCACACATATATTAGCTTAATGAGCCATTAAAATGTCTAGTATTTAAAGCATGCAATGAGGAGATCTATAGTTTAAGCTTCAGAAATCATCCAAAAACCTTACGAGCGCTAATAGCACTCTCAACAGGAGAAATCTAGCCTTTCATTTACTTTTAATTTCCCCTTTCATCCTATTCCATTAAATACATTTATTTACAAAGAAAGCAGGACAAATCTGTAATACTGGATCAAGTAATCTAAATTATGACAGGCAAAACCAGGCTCCAGAGACACCGTATAGCAGCCTTCCAGTGCCTGAAGGGGGCCAGCAAGCAAGCTGGAGAGGCACTTTTTACAAGGGCATGGAGTGATAGGACAAGGGGTAATGGCTTTAAACTGAAAGAGGGTAGGTTTAGATTAGATATAAGGAAGAAATTCTTTACTATGAGGGTGATGAGGCACTGGAACAGGTTGCCCAGAGAAGCTGTGGCTGCCCCCTCCCTGGAAGTGTTCAAGGCCAGGTTGGACGGAGCTCTGAGCACCCTGGTCTAGTGGAAGATGTCCCTGCCCATGGCAGGGGGGTTGGAACCAGATTATCTGTAAGGTGCCTTCCAACCCAAACCATGCTATGATTCTGTGATAAAACAGGGACATATAGTTTGGGTAATACCCTGCTCCTGATCAGATCCCAGGAAATTACACTCATTTTCTCTACAGTTTCTTTACTTCATTAATAAGAAACTCTTCCTTTCCCACTGATCACAATTCCATAAGGAATCTGTCCCTCTGGAAGCAACAGTACGCACCCACAAAGGGGCCATGTGCTTTTGCAGTGACCTCCAGATCTCCCGAACACACTTGCATGCAGAAATGCTGGGTTTTGACCTCATGATGGGAATTCCCCAGCACTCATGCGGCCTGTGACTGTAGACAAGGGAGTCATTGGTTCAGCATTGCCACTTAGGCCTGTCCAAACCATTTGAAACCACAGTAGATGTGTGCCCAGAGGATCAAGGAAAGACAGAATGTGGCTGCAGAACTGTAAGTACTTCCAGTTGCAGACGAACCTCACTCGCTGAATTTTTCTCCTCTCAGAAATTTACAGCATCTAATTGGTTGGGTATGATTGGCTCAGGAACAATACCCATAAATCAGTGGAATGTCTAAATGGTATTATCCTTGCATAACCTTGGCATGCTCATAAATAAAATCCTTCAACAAATGGAAAGTTACTGTCAGTAATTTCTAGGCAGATGTGATTTTCCCAGATCTGTTATTTTTGACAGTATTCTACCAGAAGTGTTGTCTGATCCTTTATTTCTACATACAATGAATAACTTCAGTAACTTTCTTTTAACAGAATTTCTGAGGCTCTGTTACTTTGATTATTCCATCATTCTATATTGCATAACTATTACCATTGAACTAATTTAATACGGCATACTACGGTAGAGCAGCATTTCAGCTGATTAAACATGTATCAAGAGTATTAAACCATCTCCTTCACCTTTGTTCCAAAGTAAGAGTATATAATACTATATAACCACTACTAAATGCACTAAATGCATGTTTCACGGTTGTGAGGATTTTAGTAGATCTCATTCTGAAGTCCGTTGGTTCAATCAGTCTCATGGCTCAGCACTGCTAGTAAGATGAAAAAAAAACCCAAAAAACTATGCTATAACACTCAGGAGAAATTACAGTTCGTGAGCCAAGAAGCAGCTTTGTCATGCAACGAAAGACTGTAGCACAGCACGCCTGAAAAAGCTCAGCAGCTTTGAAAGTGTGCCTTTTAGGCAGAAAAGACAGCTAAAGGGATAAAGTGGACTAACACCACAAAAACTTCTATAAGGGACCTTGGAATTTTCAGTGCTTCTTTTTTCCACTTCACTAGCTTCTCTGATAAGTATTTTTAAATAGGATTCTTGATTCTCATTGAGGCAAGATGAAAATAACACACGACCAATTCACACAGAGATCTAAAAGGAAGGCCTTCAGAACAAGGAAACCACTGCATTTTGCATTATATTGTGGAAAAAAACATTGGAGAATGTTTTGGGGGACTCTAAAACTGCTGAAGTCTAGAATGTACTCCAGAAGACTACATTTGGAGTAACAGTGCAAAACACTGATTAGTGAGGCAAATAGCAGTACAATATGTCACTGAATCTCAGCATATTTTCCAAGAATTAAAAAAAAAAATACTTAATCTAACACTGTTGCAGTTTATAAACTTTGACCAACCTGTCACTCCAGCTCAAGAATCTCTGCATTCCAGCAGGGAATTCTGTCAGGCCTATTTAAAATAAAGTTCAGGCTACTCACATCCTATATTCATATCCTTCCTTTCCTCGTATTTGTTTCCTTATAAAAATCCAGAAAATAACTGTAAAAAATGCATTTAAGCAATGTTAATAGTTAATGCTCAGTTTACAAACACGGAAAAGATGTATTGTCAGTAGGCACGTGCACACAGAGTACATATATAGACAACATCTATACATATATATATACACAGCTGGTCAGACAGATCACAGACACTCAGAAAACCTACACAAACACTAACGACAGTACCAACAGCCTCATCCTGCTCCTTTCTCTGGCTGAGCAGGATGGAGGGCCACTGGGCTCACACACACACGCAGAGCCCTCGCCCAGGAAAGAGTCAGAAACAAATTTAGTAAAATAGGATAGACTGCACTGATCAGGTGCAGACAAGCATACCAACCAGACAATTATTATCATGCAACCTTTTCATCCCCTTGCCCCTTGATTTTCTCACACTTGTACATCCTCCATATTACCTAATCCCTCCTTTTTCCTGCCTTTGGTTCCTCCCCTAATAAGTCCTCTTAGTAACTCCTGTGCAATCCGGGAATATTCTTCCCCTGCACCCCATCATGTGTCCCGCTCCTTGGCAGCTCCTGAAAGGTGATCCTGAGAGCGCTCCCGATGACTCATGGTGACGGGCTGAGACTCTCCTGGGGCAGCCCTGGGAAGGGCCCAGATCCAGTGTTCATTCCTGGGAGTCTGCAGTTTGGGTTCCCGCCTGCTGTTGCGTCCTGTACTCTGGGCATGCGGAGATGGGCCTGTGAGTATCCAGGGCACTGGGTTATTGAGGCTCTCACCACCGTCTCTCGGTGCTCCTTTGTGGGTGTGCAGGCAAGCTGCTACACAGAACACAGAGCACCATAAAACAACAGAAGGACGCAGGCTGCAGGAAGGAGTTTGAAAATTACATTAAATTTGTACTTTCCTAGCTGAAAGGTTAATTGCATTAGAAACATCTTCACACATTGTTTTCACATTGAAGAGACAACCTAGTTTTGAAAACACTCTGATGCTGCCCCCAAGGCAGGCAGAAGTGTTGTAGTGCTGTTGTAAGGTGCACAGGAATCTTGGACTTTCCAGGTCTTAGTGGCAGAGATAAGCTAAATACAAAAATCCACCCATAAATAAAGATGAAAACTAAAGGAAAATCAGACAACACTCAAGTGTTCATCACAGAACACAGCGTAGAGATACTGTGCGGGCTGGGGGGTATCTGCTGAGGCTGAACAGGACACAGCGACTACTGTGGCTTCCCAAAGTCCATTTCCAAGAAACCACCCTCTCTCCATTTGGACTCCTGCAGTCAGAATCCTCTGCAGATTCTCCAGAGAGGACCAGAACAGGATTCCCACCAAAAAGCCAACGGTTTACAGGTTTGTTCCTGCTGTTGCTTGATCATAGTAATTTTGAGGTTTGATATACTTTCCTGCCACAGTTTCTACTGCAAAACCCCCAAAATACATGCGCAGTTAAAGATTAATGCACAATGATCTCATTTTTTGTGTCTAACTGGTTCATGTCAAACACACTGAGAATTTTGATTTCTGAGACTATCAGCAGCCTGGTAGAGCTCGTCACAGTTTCGGGCTTGCCATTATCTTGGTGTACTACCAAGCAATATGGCAGATAATGGCAGATTTGCCCAGTCCAAAGAGTTCATGTCCTTGAAGTTGCTATTATACACACACGTGCAAACACGCATCTGAAAACTTACAACACAAGCTTACAACTATCACCAAACATCAAGTCTCTCTCAAAAGTGCAAATTTAAATCTCATATTCTGTTAATAAAGATGCCCAAATAGGTGACTTAAAATTTTAAGTTAAATTATGTGTTTTCTTCTCTGTTTGACCTCAGTTTATTTATGCCACAGCAAGACTGCTGCAGGTGCACTTAATGTGACCACAGGAGTCAAAGCCAGCAAAGGCCGACCCGTTCGTTCATTCTGCTCTCCGCCATCACACCGTTCATCCCAGAAGCTCAAATTAAGCCTCTCACCAGATCTCCCAAAGGACTATTCCACTGTCCGTCCAGTCTCAGGCAGAACTGTTCTGCCCTTCCGCATTCGCCTGAAATTTACCTCTTCACAGACATCTCCTTCCTGCTTAGGTTTTACACTTTAACCTATACGAAGGATTGCCTTCTCAGACTGACGCACTCCAGCTAACTCCTTCGCTCTTCACACGCCACCTGGGGCTCGGCTGCAAAGTCGAAGCTGCCGCTTTCCAGCTCCGAGGCCCTGCGACCCCGACGCGTCCCCCCTCCCCCCCCCGGCAGCCTTCCCTCCCCCGCGCC